TTGGCCCCCCCCCCCCCCCCCCAACCCCGGCGGCACATACAGCGGGATTGCTAACGTGACCCTGTCGCCGTCTCCAGGCAGCGGGCGAGCACGGTGACAGGCGTCTCCGTGAACGTGGCCTGCCTGCTCTCGGCCATGCTGCAGCCCTACATGCCCACTGTGAGCGCCACCATCTGCGCACAGCTGCGTGCGCCGCCCAACTGCGCAGACGCCATGCTCCGCGGTGCCGGCGCCTTCATCTGCACGTTGCCTTGCGGACACCGCATCGGCACGGTGAGCGGGGCGCTGCTGTCCCCCCCCGCACGTTCAGCCCCCCCCCAGCCTCGCTTTCAAGATGCCACCTTCTTTTAATGAGCCGTTTGTTTGCACGGGATAAATATGGGCTTTTTTTAAAGCCAGTTCTGTGAGCAGTTAGATCACTGAGCTATTGATCTGAAGGTCGCTGGTTCAAATCCCATGGCTGGATGATTGGTTTCCCCATTAAGCCTTTCGAGGCCCTTAATCCCAGTTGCTCTAAGGCCTGGCTCACCCTCCTGTCCAACCCTCACTTGTTTGTTCTGTCAAAAAAAAAAAAAAACAGTCCCCTAAATAAATGTAATCTAATGCACGTTTACTCATCTGTTTACTCTGATTCCTTACACACCCCTTTGCATCCAGATCAGTCCGCTGTTCCAGAAGCTGGAAGCCGACCAGATTGAAGCACTGAGGAAGGAATTTGGGGGCCAGCAGGTAAACGCTTTACGGCCTTGTCAATTGCTAGCTTTCCTGTTTTTCAGACAAAATTGACTAGAGCTAGAAATAAGGGCAACTTGTAATTTAATTTCCTGCTTGATACTCGACCAGTTCCCAAATTCTCCTCCACTCTCGCTCTCACTTTCTCAACTAGCCAGAGGACGAGGAGCCCAAAAATCAGGTATTTGGGCCTGTGTATTGTTTTTGTCATTGTTTGTTGTCATCGCCCACGGCCATGTCTCGTCACTGGTGCCACACCACCTCCTAACACCGGTGCATGTTTTCTGTAGCATAACAGCATGAACATCACATGTATGAACATGGCTGCGGTGGGATCAGTCGTTTGATGGCAGATGACTCCAACAATTTTTGCCACCTCCATGACTTTTCTCAGGCACAGGCTCCGCCCAAAGCCAGCGACACACCACCTGCTCCCACGGGTTCCGTGGGGAACGGCACCGATCCTGAACGGGCAAAGCGGCTGGAGAAGGAAGTGGCAGAACAGGTAAAATCTACAGAACATCGGTCTGTGACGGCCTGGTAACCAACAGTGCCGCGTGACTAACCCAGTGCCTGTGTGGACAGGGGGACAAAGTTCGCGTCCTGAAGACCCAGAAGGCTGAGAAGAATGTGATCACGGTGGAGGTGACCAAGCTACTGGAGCTGAAGAAGCAGCTGGCAGTGGCCGAGGGCAGAGACCCGGAGCCCGTCCCACAGAAAGGCAAGAAGAAATGAGGACAGGAGACCGGGGAGCACGAGCGGAGAGATAGAAGCAGAGCGGCGAGACACGCGGCTGGTCGCAAGAGCCGCCACGAGCGAGCGGTCGGGAGGGAACCAGCGCTTGAAACCGCTACGTGATGAACATCTCGGGCATTATCAGGTTTCCAAGAGCACAAGATTACCGACCAAACCTAGACCGTCGCGGGGACTGGTTAGCGGATCGATTTACCCTCTAAATTCTCTTTGCTGCCAACGTGTTTTCATTAAAGACGAATAAATAAATTTGCACCCATGGAATTCTTCTCTAGGTCGAGGCACATGGGAATAAATCACAGGAACAGACACAGTCGGCAGCATGACGTTTCCTGTCAAGTTCCGTCCCAATTACTGCTCTCTGCTCTCGTTCCTCCTGCAGTTACATACTGTAGCTGCTTTACTGCCACTGGTGAAATGAAATTCACAATCTGTTTGAAATTAAATGAAATTTTAATATTAAATGCACAGGTACAGTACAAGTCAGAACTTGAATATGCTTCCAAAGAGTAGCATTTTCATTTAATAATTCGCATGCAGCTCATTTGTTAGATATACAATTTTAATAATGAAAATACTGAATTAAGTGGATTCATGATATATAACAGGATACTATAAAAATAAGTACAGAGCCATCGGTGGCAAAAAAAAACGGTTAGTGCCCAGTTAACCCTAAATAAAATAACGGAGGCAGTTTGTACCAAACTACACTGGTACTCAAACCCTTTCAGTATTTCCCCCACCTCAACCAGACCCAACCCCAACAGCACACATTAGGCAAAGTGGTCACAATGCCAGAGAATCTTTTTTTTTTTTTTCTTTTTCGAAATCCAATCAACCACACAGCAAACGGCTGGAAAACAGTTTAACCATTCGATCTTGCCCGTCGTAGACCTCGACCGACATCGAAATGAGGAGGTCTGAAGTAGAAGCCCTTTAAGATTACAAGTGATAAGGTTTTGGGTGAATACTTGCACTCACGCTACATTTAAACACACCATACACACTCCTCTTATGTTTCTCTCTTCAAAGTTACATTCGTTCTGCTTTCAACCCTGCCATTCTTTAGCCATGCCACTTTCCCGGGAAGTAATACTGTATACATCCCCACTGAACAGACCTTTCCGAGAATACTTCCGTACCAACTTCGAATACAACGCTCTCCGGTCACCGACACTCGAATTGCTCTCAACCCAGATCGCTTTTCACAATACTGGCCCTTCACCTATCCTGTCCACCTTTTAAATCTTCACCTCAATTTCTCAATGTTTTTCCCGCCCAATTCAGTAACGGACGAAAAAGTCACTGCTTGGCTCTCTCTCCATTCATCTCTAAAGACGGGTGGAGACGACACACATAAAATCCCATTCTTGACCTTCTTTATCTCAGTCTATTCTTCCATCTTTTCTCATTCATCTGTCCTATCCCTGGCCTGCATCCCCCCATCTTAAAGGAAAAAAAAAAAAAAAGCCCCACCCCCTCTTCCTTCGGCATGGCCCCACCCAATTCAACATCACTTGCAGGTGTTGACTAGCCTCTCAATGAGAGCCCGTCTTGTTCTTTGCACCTCTTCTGCCAGCCTCTCGATCTCCGCCTTCAGCCGTTCGTTCTGCTCCGTCAGCTCCTGCACCTTCCTCTCGTTCTCCTGCTCCCGCTCCCGCCGGCTCTTCTTGGCGGATGAGGAGGACCTAGAGGCTGGGGGGCCCGGGGAGGCTGTGCAGCCCCTCTCCGCACCTCTCTTGCGCTTCCCCAGCCGCGGCAGAACTGCGGCGGGTGGGGAGGAGGGGGAAGAAGGAGGAGAGCTGTTTACTAACGCGGGGGATTGAGAGGCTGAAGTGGTGGTGGAGGAGCAGGAGGAGTCCTCGTGGCCAGAGGGCGGCTCGTCCTCGCTGACCGCGGGGGAAGGGGGCTGCTGGCTGGGGTGGTAGCAGTGGCTCACCTCGGCACCCCCTGCTTCCACCAATCCCACCCCTCCCTCGCTCAGCAGCTCAAAGAACTCTGGGGGCAACAGGTCTCCCCCCGCCTCCCCACCGCCGTCTGCCGCAGGGGGACTCAACCCCGAGGAGGAGGAGGAGGAAGATGAAGAGGACGAGGAGGATCTGTGGCTGGGCAGCTGCTGTGGTTCCTCCTCCACAACTTGTTGGACCCCTTCGCCCCACACCTGGCCATCTGTCAGCCAGGTGAGGGAGCAGCTTTCGAGGACATCCAGGAACTCCGGCTCCTTCTGGGGGAGAAGTGGAAGAATCTGCATGTTATAATGGCACACTTCATGTGGAGCGATGCAGTGCAGTAGCGCAAATCCAGATAACGGACACGAATGACTTGTTTACCTCAGGACCGGGTGGGGCACGGGCATGTTTGGCCCCACCTGTATCAGAGCCCAGGATATCCTGCAGGTCTTCGTACCAGGCCTCCAGCTCCGCGCCACACAGCGGCCCCACACCTGGGGGATACGGTGGGGGCAAGTGCAGCCACTCCGCAGTCATCTCACCAAACAGTCGCAACGTACAGATATGCTTCCACACAGGTACACACTGGACCTGGAGTATCAACAACAATCAGCTTTCCCCCCACATATTTAACACCAATAGATATGTGGAGTCATGGCTAATAAGTGTTACTAAAATGCATAATAAGCATTGATAAATTGCTGCTCCCCGTCTATCACGTGAGAATACGGCACCAAGCGGCCGATCGCTACACTGCATTAATTCAAAGTGGCATAGTATAAAAACAATGGTGTTACGAAAGACCCAATTATTCTGACTACGAATTTTTTCCTTAATTGTGATACTTGACGACATACAAAGTACAGAAAGGCTCTACATTTGATTAAGCGCACTTACCTTTTTCTTTTAAAAAAAATATCCCGTTAATCAAGTCTGTCTGTGTGTTGTCGGTGATATCTCGTCCCAAAATGTCTACGGGAGGAGAGAGGGTGGAAACCAAAATTACGTTATTACCAATATACCCACCCCCATGCTTCTTAAATGTTTGCCTGCAACAAAGCATCCAGCAAAACATCCTTTATTCTTTTACTAGGGGGGGGCTTAAGGACCTATTTAAAAAGAAATGCATCACCTTAAAAGAGGTAACATGAGAAGTAAGTGCACCATAATGGATAAATGAGCGCCAGGGCTGATCCGTGTCACCTCCATGCGTAGGATACGAATCATGCCAACGTGTTACTTCTTCAGTCTTAGGAAAATTATACCGTCGTGTCCAACAAAGGCAGTATTTATAATGGTTACAATTATCTAGTGTATAAATGATTAACGGGACTGGGGTGGGAAAGTGACTGACGGCCGAGTACGCGGCACTCTCGCGTCGGTCCCGGGCTGCGGAATTTGGGTCACTGGTTTTCATGTAAACAGAGAGCCGGCTGGTGCTCCGTAGCGCCCCCCTGCGCCAGTCTGGGGTCTCCGCCGCTGCAGCAGGAGCCCTCGCGCAACCCCGGACCAAAATACAACGTAAATCACAAAAACATGGCTCACGGCATTAAATATTCCCGGCATTAAATAATAAGACAACACGCCCCGACATGGGACGGTGTCTGTTCAGTAAGGTTGGGGGCAGACGAGACCAACTCCATTTCAACATTAATGATCAAAATGGTTACTGCGTAGCCACTCCTTGTACTAAAAAATACTTCAACTTATATTCAATGATTTCAAGTGAACTGAATGCCCGTGCATCAAATGACTCATTAAAATGAATCAAGTCGGAATACTTAAAAAAATAATTAGAAAGAGTAAGTTGTTACCGATCTAATTACTGCACGCCTGCCAAGTGTCAAAATAAAGCCAGCAAACAAAAACAAACGGACGGAGGTGGGGGTCGGACGGGTGGGCGGATGATAGGGGAACCCCGACGCGGCGGCTCGCCGTCAACCCGGCCGGCCGCCCGAAGCACGGGTCGGCTGTCCGGAGACAGAGGCGAGGGTCCGCCGGCCAGCTGCGCGTCCGGATCCCCCGCCCCCTCCGGAGCGGTCAATTAATATACCAGTACCAGATACTTAAAGAACTTAGAAAAAAATGAGCAGCTTTTCACATGCAACTATTTATGCATTAAGAGAATCCCCAGGCAACAAGTTAAGGCATATTCATCTTAAGAAATCTCACCCTACAGTGATTGGAAAACGTTAAAGAAGCTGGTTAATGTTTAACGAAGAGGCAACATTTAGAGATCGTGGGTTAAAAAAAAACATTTTATTTATGATATCAAGTCAGTGTCACATAAAACAAAGACAATCTTAAACTGACACAATGCGATGTCAAAACTTATAAAGCGAAACGGCTCCTTAAAGGGACGTTTTAAGGAAATGTCTATTAAAAGACATGCCAAATTTAAAATGGCAACTCTACTCCCAAAACAGACATGGGAAAGTTGCCAGAACAGAACACTTTTCTTTTTCTCGGAAAGTTAAAAGATATATGTTTACGTCGAGAAAAAGATTTTACCGCTTAATCCATGCCAGTGTAGTCATGTCAATTTTAAAATTTATATACATAGTTACTTTTTGATGCAAGAGAAAGATAACGTCGTTCAGCCATAGAAAACAGAATTAAGACATTTTGCTACGAATATACAAATTAACCAATGAAAATATAACAATGACGGAAATATATTACTTACCCTTTTCTTTTTATTATTTCGCTTTTTCGATTGTCTAGGGTTTGGAGTATGTATGTATTTTAGTTGAGATTGCTGATAGCTCATGTTAACCATTGTTCAGTATAAGTCACTGAATGTGAATTTTAGGAAACTCCCGGCGATCTTTATATATATAGTAGGCCAACCTAACCCTGAGAGGGAAGGGAAAGAATTCTCAACCGAACTCTGATTAGCATTAAGCAATGATGGACATCTGCTTGGACCAATCGTTGACTCAGAGTAACGTTCTTTTGCTTGGTGACACTCACTGTGTGGATGTGTGACAAGCGAGCGGGCGGGCTTTATGTGACTTGCTAGCTGTCCCGGCCCCGATAGTTTGTGTGTTAAGAAAAGATGTGATGCAGTCATAAGACGGCCAGGACGAATTTGGGGCGTATGGGAGTCACATGAAACGAATGATGCAATCGTTGGCAACCAATTTCCATCCGGAGATAAGACTGGCAAAAACGGAGCATGTTTTATTTAACAGTTTTTCGTTAAAACATAAAAACTATGCAAGGATATTCGAAAGTTTCCAATCTGTTTTTGCTTGCGTATGCATTAAACGAATTTCGCATCATTTTAAAGTGTGGTGTTAATTGTTTTCTTCTACCGAATATCGATTTAACAATATATGAATAGCATTGACACGTATACATGTGGGCTTTCGGTATTTTGCGCAAGTTTGGATGGGCTAAACAGTGTCCGATCGACGTATAAGTACATTTTATCTTGCATTAAACTGTGTTTCAGCTAATGTAAAGGTTTGGCGAATGACCTTCGTATCGAAATCTCTTATCTAGGTATAAGGGAAATGGTTATCTGAGAACTACCTCCTTATTTTCTTTTACTTCCGGTGTGTATGGGTTATGCGTGAGCGTACACATTTGTAGCCAATTTAAACTGATACTCAGTTAAGGACAGGTTATCAAGATATCGTTTCGTCCAGTTAGTATTTCTCTTGTCACTGGTTTGCAGCACCTGCTACGGTACCCCTTTTCAATGGGCACGGCATCCATTTTACCCAATATATTTTTTGTCACGTTTAAAGAAGGTTTCTTACGCAGCCGCCACGAAACGAAGAAAAAATATTGTTTCAAAGAATGTATACACTGTTACAGTGATAGTAAAGAGAAAAACATTACATTGTAATAGAAACCACCCAATGTAGCATGTTTGCCCCCACATCGGTGCGATTCAGTCTAAATAACATCTCTTGCCTGCATCAAACCACGAAGTGTACGACAATGCCGTCGGAATATTATATAGGCTAAAAATGGCAATATAAAGTTATTTTCTTTTTAAACGTTGTGTTGTGAAAAGTAGTGGTTGCTGACCAATAAAAACTGACTTAATTGTGATGTACTCGTGCATTGCACCTGGTATGCAACGGTTATTAACAGTCTTCAGACAATATTTAATACAATAAAAGATTCTCTGGATTCTTGTACAATTTTTAGTAGCACTCGTCAAGCTGTCAACTGAAAAACGACATAGTAAGACAAGGAATATATTTCTCTACATATTTATATATAATATACATACATTAAAATATTATTTTGACCTAAAACTGAAACAGGTTGTGATCATAAATAAAACAATATGTAGTCCCTAATTTAAATTTAGCAATAACAAGTTAATCAAAACTCTCCAGTCTCCAACATAGTGCTGCAAAATGCATGGTGCAAAGCGCAGTGTTTATAGCCTAGCAACAGCACAAGAGGGATGTACGCAAGGATAGCGAATAGAAAAGCAAAATACTGTCTCCAGGACATCGGCTAGCGTGCGAGAGGATACGCGGGCGATACGTCACGGAACCGGTGGCTGTTGCCGAGTAGGCTAATAGCCCGTGTTCCCCACCTTCAAGTTTTGCTTTTCGCAAAAGAAAATTCTTGGCGTTGTTTTTATCTGAAACGTCGGTCGAAAATTTTATTTCCGAAATTCATTTCGAACATTTATTAGTGGCCCACAAGCATTCTCTTCATTAAATATATAACTATTTGATTACCGAGAATTTCCATATATTTGACTTTTTGTGCTCGCAAGTATGTATTTATTATTTGTAGGATATAACGGAGTAATTCAGAATGAAACTGGGAGTCATAAATCTGGGAAAGAGGCATACGATGTTTTAATATATAATGTATGCTTCAATTAAGAATTTAATTCTATTATATTACTTTAATAGTGGTAAATAATTTGAGGAAACAAAAATGCAGTGGTTGCCAGCAGGCACATATATCGTGTTATCAATAAGATATATTTAGAGAGATCAGCGAACACCACATTTAGTCACAAAGTGTCCCTTTTTCTGAACTGAAAACAGAAGGTCGTTATACACCAAACAAACAGAGGGACTAAATATACCATTTAATATTTGTATAAGTCAGACATGCAATTTGAAATACAGGTCTCAATAATACTGAAATTTGAGTACACTGTTGTGCAACGCTACAATGGTGCAGCAAGATAGAATCTTTTTCCATTACAATCAGGAACCTAAACATAGTTTTTTAAAAGACTGCCAGTCACGGGAGCATCCTAGTCAGAGCAGTTGATTGCTGCAGCACTGTTTAATTTACCTTCAAATTATCCACATTAAAAACAGCAATCAACAATTGATTATACAAAATCAGATATACATGGAAACGGTTGCCACACAAATAGGAGCCAAAATAGCTTTTACCCTAGGCTTACTTTAGAAGATAACTTTTGTGTTTTTATTTTTCAAATTATGTACTGCTGGCTGTTGAAGTGTAAAATATTTAAGCCACACATTTTTGGGCTGAATAATATTTGTTTCACTAGACAAATTGCAGGGAAAATAAGAAAAATAATAAGGCATTTAGTTAATACTCCATTATTTCACATTTACACTATTGACTAAAGCAGCTGTTTCTGAGGGGGAAATTTATAAACAGCATCATGCAAAATATTATTTTGGATTCATAGGGACAGTATGTGACAACAGACTGTCATGGAATTCAGTGTCAAAACAGGGTCTCTGAATACGCTCTCTGGCCCTGATGGTTCCTGGTGAGAAGTAGATCTGAAGCCTTCACAGATTCTCCTGGTTTTTTCCACACAGATGATAGCCATTAAAAATCAAACCATCATCATGCACCCTGATATGGCTCAACAACAAAAAAACAACAACAATGGAAACAGGCTGTTGAAAATAACAGGACAATACATTGAGATGCACTCAAAATATTGCAAATTCTATAATTTTCTATTTGAAAAATGTAATATTGAATAGTGCACCTAAAAATACTTTAAGAGCTGAAAGAGAAAACTATGCATTTATAATTATCTATAGGCCTAGTGTCCTCTAAAACATTTGATCACCAAGAATGAGACAAAGTAATCAGTGTGAGGAAAAATGAAAATAAAAATGCAGTCCAGACTCTTAATATTGTTTTTCTGTCAGTTTGAGTAATTGTGTACAGTTTCAATGCTATTGTGCTTCTACTGATGGTCGAGTGTTAATTGGATGGAAATCACTGCAACATACTGAAGAAACAGCTGGGCTGATGGCACCTGACGTTTCCGGGGATGTTAGGAGGAGCCTTGCAGCATGGAGGTCACACACACATTATGGGCTTAACAAGCTGTGCTGCAGCTGATGCACATCCAGATGGACAAAGTCAGTAAGTGAGCCAACAGTTGTTGGACAAATAGAACAGTGTGCTTACATTAAATTAAATAAGGATAGAGGAGAATTAGGTTGTTGTATCAGAGACAACAAAGAATGCTTTTCCGGCAGAACATCTGGCCTTGAACACCAATTAGTGCTAGTGGAGGAATTTGCTCTTAGTTAAAGATTGCATGTTCAAAATTCTTTGAAAGGGGGAAAAGATATCGGACAGTGATTCTCAACAGTACTGGAGGTGTGGTCTGCATCAGGGAAGGTAGCAAGACTGAAAAATAGTTCAGTGGTTGGTAGAGAAGATAGAAGATTAATGGAGACAGAAAATATTTCAGATTGCAGTGGATAATAAACTAATATTCTACAAATGCAGCTGGAAAATGCTGAGCTCTAGGTGTTGCATTTTACAAAGGTCAGAACAAGTTGATTATCGCCACATGCTTCAGCTTTAACAAATGCGGCAGGGAGTGAAACTGGTGTATCAAGAACCATGAAGATGGATCAAGGTGTTTATGGTCCCAAGAGATTTCAGCAGCTGAGGCATGAGGAGTGATCCATGTTCTGGTGATGACCTTGAAATGGAAAGAGGAAAGAGATGTGAGCTTGGATGGAGGCTGCTCTTATACCACCAAGCAGCAGTTTTAGGAACCTGCAGTGAACTGGCTAAAAGTAAAGCATGAGGGTGTGTGTTCTGACTAGCTGTACCCATTTTGCACCACGTTTTGCTAAAACATTCGCAATATCTTCTTTAGAAATCAACATATGCAATTGCATCTTGAAAAGGGTAATTTTTGGAATTTCAGGAATATATTATAAAGGTACCTTGCCGACTTAAACATAATTATAAAGAAACTAATTCCAATATACAATAAATAATAACCCCATTGGTATTTTTAAAATCCAAATTCTATATTTGGGCGATTGGATTTACCGATAAAGTACTAATAGCTAATTGTTCACTTTACCAAGTTTAGTGTCACTATATAAAATACTTGTGATCTGCCCGCAGCGTAAGATTAATAGAGGGAGGGAATGGTATTTGCATCAGAAATTATTGCAGAATTTACTCCTCCAGCCTACATAATTTAAGGGAAGAATATATTAATTTATCAAACGTTTTGAAAAAGGGGGCAAATAAAATATTTAGGTGGGGTGGAAAACATACGGCACAGTCCCTTGTAATTTAAACGTTTCGCCTCAGTACACAGCAAACATTTTAGTCGTGTAAAACTATCTCACTTGTACATGCATTCACGGAGCATGTTAGGCGGCTACTGAAGCGGCTACAATGTAGACTGGGATTGCGACCGGAACGCATGCATTCCGCGAAGCTCCCTTTCCCTTATATTTTCAAATGTTCCTTTTCACGCGCCCGGTGCATTGTGGGTATGGAATTCCCAGGGCTGTCCCTCTCTAAGTGCGCATGCTCTGGGGGGAAACTCCATGATTTTTTTGGCACGGAATCCAAAGGAAAAAATAGGGAACTTGG